AAGCAACTTTGTTGTTATTATCTGCGAAGTGTTTCAGTGAAAATTCAAATCATACATTAAATGTTACATATTTTCTTCAAAAACCACATTTACAAATGTATGATTTGAGTTTGAATGAAGTTGCAACGTATTCTGAAAATAAAGAAAGAAATTAAGGCTTTTAAATTGTTCATTTTGCAAAATGACAACAGTTTAATTGAAAAGAAAGATGTGAAATTACAAAATTTTACTAATAACATTAAAATACCTATTTCAACTCTTTGAGCAATTATTTCCCACAAAAAATAAAAGCGAAAACTTTCTGATTTCATAAACTGCTGCTTTTTCATTAAAAATTGGTCATTTGAAAATGTTTTCTTCCTTTATAACTTTTTTGTGCACCAGGGTTTTTTTTCTTTTGAAAGTCTTTTTACCATTATACTTTTGGCTAGGCTATTTTTGTCATGTGATTAGTAAGAAATATGTTATGTGACTAGTCAGTATATATGTTTAACTAGTTAATTTGTCATTTACTTTATATAATGTTTTAGGCCCAGCCAATTAATTCATAATTGTCATATAATATAATTTTATATGATATGTAATGTAGATTAAGTCATTGTTAGTTTCAATAAATTACATTTTAACTCAATTTTGTTTTCTTATAATTCAAACAAAAGATTACAGATTTGAAGTTAATATTTTCTCACATTTTCTTAAAAAAAAGTTTGATCGACACATCATTGAACATTCGCAATTTTTTATTTTTATACTAAATGGTGGAATCTGGATTAAAGTTTTAATATTTTTCATTAATACACAACAAGATTGCCATTTTCCTATTAAGAATAAAATAAAAATTTGTAAAAGTGCAAGGATGTGTCAATCCAACCTGTCCAAAAAATTGAAGTTTCAAGAACTTTTAGAAGAAATAAGATTTTGATTATATTTTCGTGTGAAATACCTTTGCAATAAATAAGTTGTAATATTATATAGAAACGTTGACAAAATATTAACTCCAAATCTGTGTCTATGCACCTTTAAGCAAAAAATAAGCTGCGGATAGCCAGAAATGTCTTCTAGCATTACAGGAGAAAATCGTGGACATAAATTATTTCGTCAAAACATTTTAACAATACACACAAGTAAAATGGGGTTGATATGAAAAAAAAATCCTTCAGTTTCTGATTGACAATAGTACGTAGTCTTTGAAGATAAGGGCTTTCAGTAATCGATTAATGATCCCATGAGTACCAGTTGCAACCTGTAATTAGCAGACATATATAAGAAGCAGATTTTTTTCACTGCTGTGGGTTTCAACTCGACATATATTATGGCTTATTATCTATTAACAATAGTTACTTCGATGTATCACAATGTATGTTACATCTGTTTCATGTTAAGAAATAAATTCATGGTAACCCTAAAGGGACATGGACACAGTTTCAACTAGAAATTTTAAAAATTCATTTTTCCATTTTTACAAATATTCAACTAAGGTCTGTCTAATGATCATAAAAAATTTTAACGTCAGTAGTCGAGAGAAAAGACAGATTTTGAGCTCCAAACCTTTGTTATGTAAACAGGGTCCGTGCCATATTTTTGTTACAATAGGTTAAAATACTAATATATATTCGTTCAAAGCAGATGATTTCAATAACGAGTTAATTCTTAATAAGATTCGACAGTTTCTAGTGATTTGCTTAATTTCGTTTTGTTTCATTTCTATAGAAGTGATCGACGCGCGGAGCAAGGAGTTGATCTCATGTTCGAATCCCACTGCAGGCAATGATATGAAACTGATACTTTGGATGAGACTCTTCGGTGGTGGCGTCTTGGTATGCATTGAAAATTCTGAAAGGGTCGTTAAACAAAACAAACAAGCCTCATTTCTCTGGCTGTGATAAGCCTTTCTGAAACCCAGCTGATTCGATACGTTAGCATATGTTCTGAGTCAGATCAACTTCTAAACAGAAGAAAGCAACTGACAAACAGGTTGTTGTTTCCTAAATCTGTTTTGATTTTCGTATATTCTACTGTCGTTATATTATACAATTATTAATGTTGAAATACATTTTGTCGTATTTTTCTGATTGTTTCCTACCATTTATTAGGTCATTGTTATACAATCAATTTTACTGTGAAACACCCCTGGTACTTCTTATATCTGATGATTACATATATTGGACTTATTGATGCTAGGGTAAGTCAGTCGAGGATGCACAATGTATATTGGGGGGGGGGGGCTTGGGGGCTTAGCCCCCCTTTTTTGCAAAGATAGACATTATATAGCCATTGAAAATGGGGGTTAACTTTTTTGTTGGTTTAGCCCCACCCCCTTTCAATTTGATTCCAACGCCTATGAAATGTACGATAAATAGAATACTACATATTAAAACCCAAATCATATGCCATTTCAAGCCTCGGGTCACATATAAGCTCTGGGGCCTTCGGTCCTCGGGCTGATACGATATATGATATGGATTTTATAATCTAGTATGTGATATTCTCTATTTATTAAACAATCTAGAATTTTGGTGCTCTCTGATTGATCTAGAATTTTTTTCTGAGGTGTACCTCAGAGTGAGTTCACCTAAAATGAAGATTTGGGAGGTTCATTCCGGTTTTCCTCTTGACCAGCCATAGATTCGTTTACGTTTTTTTTCGATCCAATTGTATGTCTTTAAGACGCCAGTACCGAAGACTAAACTCCTTTCTTTAGTAAATAGTTGAGTATCATTGTTTAATAATATTGTTGTCCCCTTTAAGTGATATTTAAGCTATGGCACGCCAAATTCACAAAACTGAGCTAAACATAGTTTCACAGTTGATAAACTAGGTCTTCCGACTGTAAATTATAATTTACAAATCGTGAACTATAGTTAACAATTCGTTAACTGTAGTTTTCATCTGTAAAACTATATCTAACGGTTGTTAACTATAGTTTACGAATGCTAATCTAAGTCTATCTGTCTAAAATGAAATGTTTACAATAGATTTTGTTGATAAACATAGATTCAGGTATGTAAACTTTAATTTACAATCGTGAACTATAGTTAAGAATTGATAATCATAATGACACAGATCGTGAAATTATATTTATCAGATCGTTAACTGTAGTCAAGAGTTGTAAACCATAGTTTACAAATCGTAAAACTGTAATTATCAGATAATTATGTTTTGCAATCGCAAATGATTGTTTTAAGTGTTAAATATAGTTGACGGTTCTGAAACATAGATTATCGCGTTAACTATCGTTCACAGATGTAAAATTTTGATTAACGTTGTTAACTATAGTTTACAGTCCGTAAACTATTAGTTTAAAACCGATAAACCTAGTTCATCAACTGTGAAACTATGTACAGCTCATTTTTGTGAATTTGGCGTGCCATATTAATCTGTTGAAATATAAGGTTAATGTCTTGTTACACTACGCATTCTATTATGAGTGTTTATATTTGATGGTGACAAGAGATAAATTGTCAAAAATATTGTAAAACTACTGATTATTCAATAAAACTGTTATTGATTTTTGAATTAGGTCTTCTTGTGACTATACGTTCCTGGTCAGGCATCGGTTATTATCTTCAACCTTGAGCAGGTCCGCATAGTCACGAGTATACCTCATTAATAGTCAATAATTGTATATTATAAATATTATTGAAAATCTCACTATTTATTATGAAAGAAATACTGTAAAACGAGAATATTTAGAGCACTACTAATTTTAGCGCCTTTGGCGCAAGAGCTCCTAAGCGCTAAAATTTATTGTGCGCTAAAGGATTTCTAAATATCAATTTTTTATGTGTGTACAAAGCTTTTACATAAGTACATGTAAACCGGTACGCGCGATTACGTAATGTCGAAGGATCACTAGATTTTATATACACACTAGCACTGCACCTGTTCGGAAGAAAGAAAGTTCTGCCAAATTATAATTTAATTAAACTATTGTTAAGCCGGTAGTTGTTACCCGATAATTATCATTAGCACCTTCAAAGTTTGACTTCTTGGCGTGTCAATCATCTATCACCTCGAGGTAAATAAGGCTATCAAGCATGGCGATTGAGCTTGCAGACAATACCTGATTAGGATTACCGTTTTATCTAAGTAGTTTTCTGTCGATGCATGAATTGTTTTAATATGATTTAAATGAGTAAATACTCCATTTCTTTTTATTGAAAATGGAAATAAGATAAATTTTAACATTGTACCACGTGATAGCAACACGCGGTAAAGTTAACGAATGTTTACTGATATACAGGAGTACTGTGTTTCCGTGCTTGACTTACCAAAAAGTCAAATACAGGTGTGGATAACAAAAAACAAAATATCACATTCATATATTTTACTGACAAGTGCAAGCGCTAAAATTTATTTGCGCCAATGCATTCCACTTGCGTTTGCGCTAAAATACTAGTACGTATGCGCCAAATTTTCTTGTTTTACAGTATAGTTTAATTTTTGTTGGTTGCTTTTATATCCGTCAATAGTTTATAAAAATAATATCTACTAAAAATTTATAGTAAAAAAAAACTAAATTAAAATCTTACCTTAAAGAGGTAACATATGACTTAAATAATCAATCCAACATATCTCTCTCTCTCTCTCTCTCTCTCTCTTAAAATAGTTCATGACAACCTACTTTTAAACATTCTATTTGTTACAACAAATCAAAATTCCCATGACAAAATCAAAGTTTGATTAAATAAACTACTAAAACTTGGCCAGTCTTCACCTAAGTTCGTCATAATGAGACGGTGGACTAATTTGTCCAAGTTCTTGGTAGCCTGTGTTATATTCTCCTTTGTCATACAGAGCTGTGTTTGCGTCTTTTACTGAATTCTGGTCATTTCCTACCTTGTTTGACTTTTGTCTTTGTAAAATGATTTTTCTGACCTTCCTGTAAAATACATTCTTACATTAAAACCAAAGTCTATCTATTACAGAATTAGGACAACATTCAATTCTATATATGATCTAAAATTAAATATATAAAAAAAAAACACCATGCTATAAAAACTATGTTGAAAAAAGCACTTTTGCAAGAACTGTGATAACACCGTACAGAGCTGAATAAACGTTAGGTTTGTTTGTACTTCTCTCTGAGGACTGCTTGACTATTTCAATAAAATAACAAAAATATTCAAAAAGAAGAAGCAAAGAAGTTTTTGGCACCTGTATCATTTTCTCTTCCCTCATAATAAAATAGCATGCACTTAAACTTAAAAGATCTTTCAGAATAGTTTTTACGCGTTGCTTTTATAATCATACTACTACATGTAATTTGTTTGCCCATCTTTGAACATAACTTGCAATCGAAATCTTGTGCAAGTTTCAAATTCTTTTTAAATCTTTACATAAAATTTTCTCACTTTATAAGACTTTGCTTATTAAATAGCGTTTTAAACTTACTCATCTTTGGTATTATTAATAGGAAAGAAAAATATATACCGTTGTTATATAGTTTGCAGTTGATTAGGAACTGTATTACCTTGTATATTTCTGTCATCGTTAAACCCATATTTACACGACCCGTTGTTTGAAAAACATGAATCATTTAAACAACTAGAGCTACATTGGCGATCACATACATGAAGATGAAGCATTGTGAATTAATAATCAATCAAATTATTTTTAGGGGAAAAAATTATCGTATCAAGGTTATATATTTTTTCTTTTTAAAGATGCATTCAATAAAAGTTATAAAACATGTCGGAATGTGCTTAAACAATGTTTCCACTACATATACGTAATAATAAAAAGGGGATATTCACATGCAATTTTATTCAATATGAATTTCTGATGTGATAGGGATAGAAAGTAATTCAGAACATTTTATTATACCCCCCGCAAACGAAGTTTGGGGGGTATATAGGAATCACCTTGTCCGTCTGTCCGTCCGTCTGTCTGTCCTATACAGTTGAGAGGTACATTGTGCATTTTACGGAAGGTGCGGGGTTATCATTTTGCTTTGTGGGGTTATAACTAGTACAGTGGTGACTTGAGAGGTTCCATTAGGAATTCAAACAAATCGTATATTGTGGGGTTAAAGGTCTATATTTGTGGGGTTAAAGATCTATATTTGTGGGGTTAAAGATCTATGTTTGTGGGGTTAAAGATGAATTATTTACAGGGTTAATGTCAAGTCAACTTTACAAGCATCTAATTATAAGTACTTAAAATTGTTACTGTTTATCTGAAGAACTTAGAACGGAAATAGCAATAACATTTTTCGACAACTAAATACCAGTACCAATGCAAAAAATGTTTTTATTTGAAGATAACTGTTACACTAAAGTAAACTAACCCATCATGTTTTCACAAAAAAGATGAAAGACAAGAATACCCCCAAAAATTGTTAAACAATGCCACTATGTTATATAGATATAAGAGACAACACAAACCCCAAAAAGCATAAGACAAACAACCCCACCATGTGCTCTTATAAGGATAATAGACAACATTAACCCCATAAAGTGTCAGGACAACAACCCCACTTTGTACTCTAATAAAGATTATAGACAACACTAACCCCATAAAGTCTTAGGACAACAACCCCACTATGTACTCTTATAAAGATTATAGACAACACTAAACCCATAAAGTGTTAAGACAACAACCCCACTATGTACTCTTATAAAGATTATAGACAACACTAACCCCATAAAGTCTTAGGACAACAACCCCACTATGTACCCTTATAAAGATTATAGACAACACTAACCCCATAAAGTGTTAAGACAACAACCCCACTATGTACTCTTATAAAGATAATAGACAACACTAACCCCATAAAGTATTAAGACAACAACCCCACTATGTACTCTTATAAAGATTATAGACAACACTAACCCCATAAAGTGTTAGGACAACAACCCCACTATGTACTCTTATAAAGATAATAGACAACACTAACCCCATAAAGTGTAACAACCCCACTATGTTCTCTAATGAAGATAATAGACAACATTAACCCCATAAAGTGTTAGGACAACAACCTCACTATGTACTCTAATAAAGATAATAGACAACACTCACCACTTTATAAAGGGTAACAACCCCATTATGTTTTATATAAAGATAACAGACACCACTAACCCCATAAAGTATTACAACCCCATTATATTCTTATATAAAGATAATAGACAACACTAACCCCACAAAGTGCTAGACAACAACCCCACTATGTACTCTAATCAAGATAATAGAAAACACTAACCCCATAAAGTGTTAGGACAAAAATCCCCCTATGTACTTTTATAAAGATAATAGACAATACTTACCCCACAAAGTGTTAGACAAGAACCCCAATATGTTCTGATAGAAAATATCAGACATCTTAGTAACCTCAGAGTGTTAAACAAACAACCCCGCTGTGTTCTCATGTAACAGAGTCCAGTAACCATATGAATTTAAGTGTTTGACAACCCCAGTATGTTCTAATTCCAGAATACTCTACCAGGGACTGGCACATAAAAGTACAAATACCCCCACTATGTTCAATCGCAACTTCTCGGGCCTTTCTGACTAGTTGACAAACGACCTCAAATGTATTAGGTAGACGCCATGACAACAACCCCCTTTTCACGATTTTCGAAATAAATGCATGAAGACCTTTCTTTTATCTGTGGAAAATGGAGTTTCACTTTATTCAATGTAATGATCTTGTGTAAAATATACTATAAAATGGACTTCTTACTCCCTCTATCCTATATTTGAATAAACAGGAAATGCATAACTTTTAATATCAGGTGATGTTAATACATTCAAGGTCGTTTTTCCGACCTCTGAGGGAAAAACCCTGAGATGATGCAACTGTCACTACGTTATATAATTTTTTTACTTTTAAAAATACCAAACAATACTCATAATACTTTTTCTTATTTTGATAACATACTCGAAAATTTGTTTTAAACATTTTTCAAACTATTTTTAATTGGATAATTTCTTTATCTTTACTGCTTATCTCTAAAGAAAAGTTTTCCTTTGAATCTACTGGTGCATGAATTTGAAGTGTACAATATGCATCAAAAGCATACATAATTTCTTTGTTAATCAATTATAATAAAAAAGAGATGATCTTGATTTAAAAAAATTTAATTAAACTTTTCAGTTAATTGACAAGTTGAACACAGATAAGAAACGTGTCAATAAATATAGAACACAGAAAAAAAAAACTCGAAATTTGAGACAATCTTCAAAGCTGTAAAAAAAAAAAACAAAAAACAAAAAAAAATGTGCAATTTTATAAAGGAAGTAGACGGTGAATTGTCAAATAACTCTAATATACTTGCATGTTATTGCTACTTATTTTAAACAAAATATATGAATTCATATGAAGTTTTAAAAAAAATGTGTAGTCTAATATCTCATCATTTTGCATTTTAAATTTGATCTTAAAACAAAAATAATGATGTACATTCTTTGGGAAAATAAACTCAATCTCACAGTTTAGATAAAGTCTATGAAAATACAAGAGAATTTACATGATAAAATTTAAAATGCAATCTTATTGTGAAAATGCTGAACCCCCACCCCAACCCCCAAAATAAAATGAAAAAACACACAAAACAATTGATTTATAATTTTCAGAAAAATAAAAATTAAACAACATAAATGTACATTTCATTTATTTATTTCTCACATGTAAAATGAAATCGCTAATTACCAGGTAAAATAGACGGAAACTATGACTGTCAATGTATAGAAATTCACCATGCCGAATGCAATGTTCAAAAAAGATCCTTTTGTCTTAAAGCTGAACACTACTCACAAACATAAGTAATTAGAGATAACATATCTCAATTTAAAAAAAAAATTGACTTTAAGTAAGAAAACGTCTCGCAATAAATTAATAATCTAGAAGTTAATTTACCTACCAAATTACAAAATTTATGCAAATGAATTTTAATTTGATGTGATAGGGTTTGAAGTAACTTGAGAATAGACACCCAAATACTTGAAACTAGTTGCCTATCAAGAAAAAGTAATTCAAATCCACAAGTGACAACCCATGTAAATGTTATCTTTTCTGGATCAACTTTCAAAAATTGATTTATCTTCTTTTTCTGAAAAGTAAGTCAGGTCCTGAATGTCGCCCTCTGGGGAAGGCAATGGCAAGAATGAATCAGGATTGTGCATGTTCTTTTGAAAAGTCTTTAACTCATACTTCATGTATATCTGTCAAAAAAAAAAAAAAATACAGAAAAAAAATATTTGTTAAAAATAATTTTTTTAAAGGTTAAGTTTTAATTTATTGTAAAATGAAAGAAAAAGTGAGCTAGCTCACATACCCCACGCTCCCCCAAAACTTGACGGTGAAACACATAATGAAAGGCACAGTGCACTTTAAATACATAGTATAGATCAAAAAGGGCAATATTATAATTGCAAAAAATCATCACATCAAAATGTCTTGCATATGAGGACATTTAAATGTGGAATGAAGTTTCTAGATAAATAATGGAATCAAAATTTCTTGGCATTATACATATCCAAACATTAATTTGAAGTGGTTGGGGGGGGGGGGGAGATTTTCTTGAATAATAGGCAAAACTCTTTAGGATAAAATAGTGGAATATGTCCTAAAGGTTGATGAAACTATGTACAACAGTTTAAGGGGGCCGACTATAGTTTTGTTGTGAGAAAACTACAATAGCGAAACTCTTCATTTTTACACCATATATAACTTACATTAACTTCAGTGTACATGCAAAGTTTGGAGAAAATCTACCGTCCAGGTATTTGTGAGGGACCGACTCAAAATACAGGTACATTTACTATATTATTATATAGGAAAATGCCAATTTTTAGCACTTTAAAGCAAGTTATACAAATACTACAATAGACATTTTTTTCAAACTATAATATTTTATGAGTAATACTATATGATACAATATATGTAAGAAGCACAAAATTCTACCGTCTTGTTAAGAGAGGGGGCATCTCAAAATGCAAAAAAATTAGCAAATTTTACTATTTTTATAGAGTACTACAAAATATGACATAAACAATGGATTCACAAGAAAACATTATAAAAATATTGGAGATATTCTAAAAATGTTATCATGTTTTTAATTTCAAGAGCGTATTTTTATTACTTTTTCTGTAAGAATAT